CAGGCCTGCTGGCGTCCCCCAGCTGTTCCTGCAGCAGGCACGCTGCCATCTCTGCCACTCTGTCTGCCAGAACAAACAAGCTTGCAAGGGCTCACTGGCTCCGTTATTCAATAATGAAAGGAGGTCTGATCCTCTAAGCCTCCTTCCAGGGGAAACCAGGCTAAGAATGGCTTTGCCAGGAAGCTCCCCCCACCCCCAGGCTGATGGAGCCCACCTGGGAGGCCCATGCGTGCCCAGACCTGTCTGCCATGGCGAACCCCTGGGATTTTGGCCTTTCCTCTCCACTTCAGGTCCCTGATTTAGTTCTCGCGGGTTCCTTGACACACAGCACACAGCCTGAGGAAGCCAATAAGCTGGGGCCTGGGGGTGGGGTGAGTCTGGGCTCTCTGTGGGATTCTGAAAACTGGCACTATTCGGAGCAAGCCCATAGAAAGACAGAGGAAGAGAGAGAGAGAGAGATAGACATGTGGCCCAGTGAGCCGGGCCCCCAGGGCGCAGGTGGGATGTGGGTGATGGCACCGGGTTGGTGCTCTTCCTGGAGGGACAGCTTGGCCTGGGACCAATCACCGCCTTTGGGGTCGGACCAGCTGCCTTCTTTCTCAGCTGTGCTCCCAACTAGCTGTGCCATCCTGGCAGGGGCGGATCAACCGGTAAGCAAGGTATGCACAGCCTTAATTCTGCTTACTTACTAATCTGTAGTGCACAATTTCACATAGCAAAAAACAGATGAAACTGTGCACTACAGATTAGTAAGTAAGCACAAGTGAGCCCGTGCGTACCTTGCTCATTGGGTAATCCACCCTGGCATCCTGGGCCAATTACGTAGCTTCTTTGACCCCTAGTGTTTCTTCTTTCTTTGCTTTATTTCTTTCTAAATCTTTTATATAGTAAAATATGCACACATATACAAAAATATTTAGAGTATAAATGTATAGATTAACGTATTATAAAATGAACACCCGTGTTCATTCCAGAGAACATTCCAGAAACCCTATGCCTCCCCTCATCCAACTGTAGCCCTTTCCTCTTCCCCACTATCCTGACTTTTATGGCATTCACTTCTTTGTTTCTCTGCCTCAAACGTCGTTGTTAGGTGCTGTCGAGTCGGTTCTGACTCATAGCGACGCTATGTACAACAGAACAGAATGCTGCCTGGTCCTGCACCATCCTCACGATCGTTATGTTTGCCCCCATTATTGCAGCCACTGTGTCAATCCATCTCATCCAGGGTCTTCCTCTTTTTTTGCTGACCCTGTACTTGACCAAGCATGATGTCCTTCACTAGGGACTGATCTCTCCTGATAATATGTCCAAAGTACGTGAGACGAAGTCTTGTCATCCTCGCTTCTAAGGAGCATTCTGGTTGCGCTTCTTCCAAGACAGATTTGTTCATTCTTCTGACAATCTGTGTGTGATGGTCACTATTATGTGTCAACTTGGCTAGGCCATGATTCTCAGTGGTTTGGCAGATATTATGTAATCATCATGCATTCTGTGATCTGATGTGACCAATCAGTTGGAAGGGGTTTCCTTGGGGGGTGTGGCCTGCATCCAATATATATGGATACGCTGGTAAAGCTCGTGTGTGCTCCCTCTCTCGACCTTGCACTTATCTCGTGGTTGCCTCGTGGTCTACCCACTGTTTCCTGGAGAACCCGTCAGCCAGCTGCCTGACCTGCAGATTTTGGATTCACCAGCTCCCACAACCCTGTGAGCCACCCACCTGCCACTTGACCTGCAGATTTTGGGTTTGACAGCCCCTGCAACTACGTGAGTCAGGAGACGCATTCATCCTGCCGCCTGACACATGGATTTGGGACTTGCCAACCCCCACAATGGTGTGCGCCATTTCCCTGAAGTAAATCTCTCTATATATGCTTATATATACGTTTCGCTGGTTTTGCTCCTCTAGAGAACCCAGCCTAAAACACCCTGGTATATTCACTATTCTTCACCAACAGCATAATTCAAATGCATCAATTCTTCTTTGATCTTCCTTATTTGTCGTCCAGCTTTGGTATGCAGATGAGGCATAAAATAATATACTTTAATTCTGCCTACTTTTCATCTTTGTATAAATGGAATCATACAGCATGTTATTTTGTGTGTGTATGTTTGTCTACTTTGTTCCACAGCGTGTTTATAAGATTCACATATATTGTATGTCATTGGATGGAGCTGCAGTTAATTTATTCTCACTGTTGAAGAGCTTTCCATTGTAAGAATATATCAGATTTATCAACCCATCTATTGTTTCTGGGCTGTTTCTTGGGTTATTTCCAGTGTCAGGCTATTACAAATAAGGCTGCTGTGAACATCATGTACAAGTCTCCTGATATACCTGTATGCACATCTCTATTTGGAACATCCTAGCAGTGGACATAGGTGTGCATAACACCAACTTTATCAGATACTGCCAAACAAATTATCTACCAGTATGTGCAAGTTCCTGCAGCTCTCTGACCTCATCAACACATGGAATCATTAGTCTGCACCTTTAGTCATCCTGGTGGGTAAGCAGCAGTATCTCGTTGTGGCTTTAATCTGCATTTCCCTGGTGACCCATGAGGCTGAGTACCTTTGCCTATGTTCACTGCTCAGGGGGATTTCTTCCTTGTGAAGTGCCTATTAGAGTCTCTTGTCCATGTTTCTACTGGCTTGTCTGTCTTTGCCTTACTGATGGGTAGGAGTTTGGGAAGCAGGTGGTCTGAAGGTTGTTATGTGTTGCGAATAGCTTCTCCTCATCTGTAGCATGCCTTTTCATTTCCTTAATCTATCTCTTAAAGAACAGATGCTCTACATTTTACACAGTACGATTTACCAGTTTTTTCCCAAAAGATTAGTACTTGATAAAATTCATTTAAAAAAACCTTTCTCTACCCCAAGATCATGAAGAAATCCTCCTTTCCCTGGTGCTTTGCTGCACTATGTTTAAACTCTATTCTGTCCCACTGGTTGACTTTCAATAACCTGGAACCAAAGGAATCCCTTGGTGGATTCCTGCAGAAATCCCTGAGAGGGCTTGGGTCTTCCCAGGCCATTGAATTTTAAGGAGCCCTGGTGGTGCAGTGGTTAAGTGCTCAGCTGCTAACCAAAAGGTTGGCAGTTCGAACCCACCAGCTGTTCTGTAGGAGACAAATGTGGCAGTCTGCTTCCATAAAGATTACAGCCTTGGAAACCCTATGGGGCAGTTCTACTCTGTTCTATAGGGTTTCTATGAGTTAGAAGCAACTTGATGGCAATGGGTTTTAGGCCAAATTTGTTGCAATTATCCAGGTCTGGGAGCCACGGTGAACCCTGTTATGCCATTTATGTAGCCCAAAAGAAAAACTGCAACTTTCCAAAGTTCTATCGACTCCTGCAGGTGAAGGACTTAGGGTTGGGGGGGAGGTGGTCAGGCAGGCCACGGCCAGGATGGGAGAGGGGCTGGTGGGGCAAGGAGTGAAGGGCTAAGGGTGTGCAGGATCCCCAGGTGGGTTCTGAGTCCCCAAAGGGTGGGGGGGTCTGCCCCTGCCTGGACTGTTTGCCACTCAAACCCCAGGTGGGCAGGGAGGGAGGGTATCCATGGCTCGTGGGGCAGCCCGGACCAGCCTGAGGCTCCAGGTTCCGCAGAGCTGGTGACCCGCCCACCTAGATGGTGACCCCATCTAACAGCTCTCTTCATGATGACCCCATCCGGACACTAACCAACAGACACAGCAACTGCACTGCTGACCATCTTTCCTTTCTCTGACAGCCCATGTCCAGAGCAGCGGCAAAGCCTGACAGCTCCATGTTCACAATCCACCTGCCCTGTCCTCTTCACCGACTCCTCTGCTCCCACACCAGTCCCAGCCATGCCACCTCTTGTCCACGACTGGCACAGCCTGCTGCGTCCACTCTTGCTCTCTGTGGTCTATCCTTCACGTGATGCCAGAAGGATCTTTTTAAACATCTACTCAGGTCAGGTCACTCTGGCTCAGAGCCCTCTGTTGCTCTACAGGAGGTCAGAACAAAATGTGAAATCCCCACCATGGCCTCCAAGGCTCCAGGGATCTCTCTCACCTCAGGTCCTACCATCGTCCCTGTCCGCAATCTTCGTAGACGCACTGGCCTTCCTGATATTCTGTGTGTTCTCATAGCTCAGTCCCACCTCAGGACCTTTGCACATGCCAGCACCACTGCCTGAATGCCCCCGCCCGGCATCCCCAGACTCTCAGGTCACAGCTCACTGCTTTATTCTGCCTTACCGCCATTTCTCATCATGTGACATTCTATCACACATTTACTTGTCTGTTGTCTGACACCCACACAAGAACAGAAATAACACAAGGGCGGACGCGTCGTCTGCTTTGGGTATCACTGAATTCCTGGTACCTGGAATAGTTGTTGTTAGGTGCCCCTGAGTCGATTTTGACTCATAGCAACCCCATGTGACAGAGTAGAACTGCCCCATAGGGTTTTCTAGAGTAGAACCCAGTACATTTTAGGCACTCAGTACATGCCTGTCAATCAATAAGGAAGCAAATAAACAGCAATCTTTGCTTTCAGATTACGGACAGGGAGTGTGTCCTTTGGGTAGGGCAGGGGCCCCACCCAGCTGAAGCAGATCAGGGTTCGGGGGAAGGGTGCCTGGGCCCAGGCATCTGACATGAACCGTCAGGTGTCTGAAGCTCATTTCTGGCCAAAGTCTGGACCGTGTGAGACCACCTCACGCCCTCTGAACACCCAGTGGGGGTCTGGACACAGACAGGCAAATACACACAAGCCACAGCACTCTCTGGTTGGAAGAGGGCATGTCTGTAAAAAGCAGACCTGGTTCCCTTGCCAGGGCCTGCTTGGTGCACAGCTGGGGGCTCCTGAGGGTGAGTGGCAGAAATGGGAGACATTTGCAGCTGGCAGCTGACAGCCAGCCAGTCCCAAGGGAGACAGGCCTGGTGGGCTCAGCAGGTGAGTGGGAAGGGCAGGATTACCTGAAGGCAATGGTTCTAGAGGGCAAGCATGCGAGCTACGGGCAGTACCTCTGCCCAGTGGGGCCCAGATGACCCGGCGGATGGCCCGCACCCAGTCCTCCATGTCACTCTGGGAGCTGGCCATGAGCAGGAAGGCCTCGTGGTTGGCCGGCATCTTCTCCCGCACCCCAGCACCACCTGCAAGACAGGAAGACACACGGCTCACCGAGGGGTCCCTGCCTGCGGGAAGCGGGCCTTCCCCGACAGACAGCATTCTCCAGCCGCCAGGTGGCTGACCCGCTACAAAACCCATCAGTAGTAGCTTCCTTATTGGTCCTGTTTTTGCAACCCATCCCCTAACCCCCTGCAAACTTCTTTTTTGGGGGCCTTTCTCATTTTTCTCTTTTCCTCCTTAATCTTACTTTGTTATTTTTTCCTAATCAAAATAGAATCGTTAGAGCATTCTGGGGCACTCTTTAAAAAAAGCATGCAGATCTGAGTCCAGCTCCGAGAACCTAGGTACAGCAGAGTAGCCTCACTGTGTGTGTGTGTTTTTAATCAAATTTACATGTGACAGAAAGCATACATTGTAATGTCTAAGTTCAGCGTCACTGTGAGCTTTTAACAATAGGCTCTGACATTACAATCTGGACTCCCTGTACTGGAGAAGGGCACTGACTCTGCATGCATTAATGTTATGGAGGCCTGACATTAAGGCAGGATGGGATGAAACAAACACTCCAGAACTCTCCACTAGTCCCGGTTCACAGCCAGAGACTGGAGCATATCATAAGGCAGAACGAGGGCTTTCATGTGTAAATGAACCAATCTTTGGGATGCAGATAAAAACTTTATAGTGAACTTTGTAGGCAATTTAACAGATTTTCAAGAATGTCTTTATGTACCCCTCATCCCATAAACTGTAATTCACTATTACCTGCCTGAAGTCCCACAGCCTCAGATCCTAACCAGGAAGGTCTGCAAATGGGGTGTGAGTCTCTAAGTAGATAAGGAGAACTTTAAGACCCAGGTCGTGCCCTGCTGGAGCCTGCAGCTCACGGAAGGACCAGACAGGAAGGATGTATAATACCGGCAAGTACTTACTGAGCACTTAGTACATGCGAAGCGCTTACTGAGCACTAAGTATGTGCCAAGCACTTACTGAGCACTTAGTACCTGCCAAGCGCTTACTGAGCACTTACTACATGCCAGGGATGCTTTCAGGAGCTGCAGAAACTTAGAGAACAAAACTGGCACACACACACCTGCCCTCCTAGGATTCTTTAATTCTTGCTATGCAGATGCAATTTAAAGTAGTCTAGTCCCCACTGCAAAACTACTATTGCTCCTGGGTGCTATTGCTCCTGGGTGCGGGGCTGCTGCTTACAAGGGCTACACTGGGAGCAAGGGGATGAAGGTGCTCAGAGGGCTGGCATCTTCCAGATGATGAACAATGCTGAACATCTTTTCAAGTATTTAGTGCTATCCGTGGATCTTCTTAGATGAAGTGTTTCTTAAAATTTTTGGTCCATTTTTTAAAATGGGTTATTTATTCTCTACATATTCTGGATACAAGCTCTTTATCAGATAGATGCTTTGCAAGTATTTCTCCTAGTCTGTGCCTTTTCTTTGCATTCTAACAGTGTATTTCCAAGAGCAGAAGTTTTTAATTTTGATGAAGGCCAATTTATCTTTTTTTTCTTTTATTGAGTATGCTTCTGGTGTTGTATCTAAGAAATCTTTGCCTAAGTTTTCTCCTGGAAGTTTCTTAGTTTTAGATTTTACATTTAGATCTATGAGTTACTTTTTGAATATGATGCCAGGTATGGGTTGGAGTTCACTGTTCTGCATATGGATATGCATTTGTTCCAGCATTACTTGTTGAAAAGACGACCTTTCTCCACTGACATGCCAGTGCACCGACAGAGGCGATCACATCATTTGTGAATGAAGACAGTCTTCCATCTTCCTTTCTGATCTGGACGCCTGGTATGTCTTTTTCTTGTCTAATTACACCGACCAAAGCGTCAAACACAATGCTGAATAGAAGTGGTAAGAGCTGGCATCTTGATCCTGATTTTAGGACAAAAGCATTCGGTCTTTTACCATTATGTATATCAACTGTAAGCTTTTCAACAACACTCTCTATCAGGTTGAGGAAGGTCCCTTCTATTCTCAGTTTACTGAGAGGTTTTTTTTTAAAAAAATAAATAAATAAGGAATGGATGCTGGATTTTGTCAACTGCTTTTTCTGCATCTATTGAGATGATCTTAAGGGTTTTTTCCCTTTTGTTTTCGTTTGTTAATATGATGAATTACATTGATGCCTTAAATGTTAAACCAGTGTTCTATTCCTGGGATAAAGCCCACTTGTCATGATGTATTAAACTTTTTATATATTGTTGGATTCAATTTGCTAACATTTTATTGAAAAATTTTCATCTATATTGATGAGAGATACTGGTCTGCAGTTTTCTGATCCTATGAAGTCTTTGATTTTGGCATCAAAATAATGCTGGCTTCAAAAAATAAGCTCATAAATATTCACTCCTTTTCAAATTTTCAAAGAGTTTGTGTGAAATTACTATTACTTCTTCCCTAAATATTTGGTAGAATTCCCAATGAAGCCACCTAGACCTGCAGTTCTCTTTGTGGGAAGGTTTTTAACAACAAATTCAATTTCTTTATATATACATCATTTCCTCGTGAGTGAGCTTTGGTAGACTTTGTCTTTTAAGGAATTTGTCTGTTTCATCTAAGTTATCAAATTTATTGGCATAGAGTTGTTCATAACATTCTCTTATTACCCATTTTATATTTGAAGAATGTTTCCCCCCATGATCAGTCTTGCTAGAGGTTTATTGACTGTATCGATCTCAAAAACCAGCTCTTTTTCCAGTGACTTTGTCTATTGTTTTTTCCGGTCAGCGAACTTTTTTCCTAAAGGGCCAGGTAGTAAACAGGTTTCCACAGTCTCTGTCACAATGACTCCACTCTGCCACTGCCGCACTGAAGCCAGTACATTGCCGGTGAGAACATAAAATGGTTTAGCCGCGGTGCAAAACAGTTCGCAGTTCCTCAAAAAGTTAAACACAGAATTACCAGATGACTCAGTAATTCCACTCCTAGGTATACACAATATATATACAGACAATATATAACTGAAAGGGCATGACTATGTTCTTACAAAGCTATTTACAAAAGCAGGCCTGTAGTTTACCCACCTGTGTTCTATTTTCATTAATGTCCACTCTGATTTTTATCATTTCCTTTCGTCAGCTTACTTTGAGTTTAATTTGGCTTTCTTTTTAGTGCCTAGTGTTCAGTGCTATGATTTCCCCCGAAGTAGTGCTTCAGAGGCATCCTTCAAATATGGTATACCTGTACTGTGTTTCCATCTTCATTCAGTTCAAAATAACTTCCTATATCACTTTGGATTTCTTCTTTGACCTATGGGTTATTAATAAGAGTGTAAGTTTCCAAATTTGGAGGATTTTCCAGAAACCTTTCTGTTATTGATTTCTAATTTAATTCTATTGTGGTCAGAGGACATATATTATATGACTTGAATTCTTTTAAATTTATTGAGACTTGGTTTTGGACAAGAATATAGTGGCACAGTGGTTAAGAGCTTGGCTGCTAACCAAAAGGTCGGCAGTGCAAACCCATCATCTGCTCCTTAGAAACCCTATGGGGCAGTTCTACTCTGTCCTATAGGGTCACTGTGAGTCAGAACTAACTCAATGGCAGCTAACAACAACAACAACAACATGGTCTATCTTGGTTATGTGTCCTGTGTGCACTTGAGAAACACTATTGTGCTGTAGTTGGGTGGGGTATTCTGTAAATGTCAATTAGGTCAAGTTCGTTCATAGTTTTGTTCAAATTTTCTATATCCTCACTAATTTTCTGTCTATTTGTTCTACCAGTTATTGAGAGGGGGGTATTGAAATCTCTGACTATAATTTAGATTTGTCTAGTTCTTGCATTTCTATCAGTTTTTGCTTTGTGTAGTTTGAAGCTATGTGAATAGGAGCATAAATACTTAAGATTATATGTCCTCTTGATGAATTGACTCCTTTCACGTTATGAAATGACTGTCTTTGTTGTTGCTGTTAGGTGCCGTTGAGTTGGTTCTGACTCATAGTGACCCTATGTACAACAGAACAAAACACTGCTTGGTCTTGTGCCATCCTCACAGTCGTTGCTATGTTTGAGCCCATCACTGCAGCCACTGTGTCAGTCCATCTTGTTGAGGATCTTCCTCTTTTTCACTGACCCTCTATTTTACAAGCATGATGTCCTTCTCCAGGAACTGGTCCCTCCCTGATAATATATGCAAAGTACGTGAGAGGAAGTCTTGCCATCCTTGCTTCTAAGGAGCATTCAGGCTGTACTTCTTCCAAGACAGATTTGTTTGTTTTTCTGGCTGTCCATGATATTCAATATTCTTCACTAAAACCATAATTCAAAGGCATCAATTCTTTGGTCTTCCTTATTGATTGTCCAGCTTTCGCATTCATATGAATTGATTGAAAATATCATGGCTTGGGTCAGGTACACCTTAGGCCTCAAAGTAAGATTTTTGCTTTTCAACACTTTAAAAAGATCTTTTGCAGCAGATTTGCCCAATGCAATACGTCATTTGATTTCTTGACTGCTGCTTCCATGAGTGTTGATTATGAATTCAAATAAAATGATCCTTGAAAACGTCAATATTTTCTCCATTTATCATGATGTTCCTTGCTGGTCCAGTTGTGAGGATTTTTGTTTTCTTTATGTTGAGATACAATCCACGCTGAAGGCTGTAGTCTTTGATCTTCATCAGTAAGTGCTTCAAGTCCTCTTCGCTTTCAGCAAGAAAGGTTGTATCATCTGCATATTGCAGGTTGTTAATGAGTCTTCCTTCAATCCTGATGCCGAGTTCCTCTTCATAGAGTTCAGCTTCTCGGATTATTTGCTCAGCATACAGATTGAATAGGTATGGTGAAACGATACAACCCTGATGCACACCTTTCTGATTTTAAACCACACATTATCTGCTTGTTCTGTTTGAACAACTGCCTCTTGGTCTATGTACAGTTTCCACATGAGGACAATTAAGTGTTCTGGATTCCCATTCTTCACAATGTTATCCATGATTTGTTATGATCCACATAGTCAAATGCCTTTGCATAGTCAACAAAACATAGGTAAAC